TTGGTTTGTAATGTAATGTTGTGTTATGCTTGTTGACTGTAAAGGTAGTTAGCACTATCCATAGGAGCAGCCTTTTCTTGTCCGCATACAGTGCCCTGGCTCCACCACCCTCCTACAGTTTTTTTATCTTCGACAAAATTAAGATAATGTAACACCCATTTTTTCTTTTTCCCTTATTACCCTTTACACCATGGTTTCACCATTATGGGTAGGGTCTCTTTCAACAACCCTCCAGAGAAAAATATAAAAAAATAAATTCAGTTATAAATATTAAAATTAGTTTATACAGAGTTAAAAATAATAAATAAATTAATTAAATTTGGTATTTTTAGAATCTCAAAATGATTTTAGTCGTATTGGTATTGAATAATAACCTTAATATTTTTATTAATCTAAAATTAAGAGGGTTAATTTTTGATAATTTTTCTTCTTAATAAATTAAGAAAGACTGTAAGGAGTATTTCTCAACTCTTTTACTATATTTCATTGCCTTGTTTATTTTTAGTTTTGGGTGGTTAATACTTGCAATAAATACTTTAGCGCTCAAATTAATGTTTTTAGATATTAGTTTCAAATATAGATTAAAGGAAATCTTAGAATTCACCTTTTGGTTGTTTCTACTACATCTATTGATAGCACTAAAAGTTAAATTTAACTCTGTTCACTTGATAATCCCAATCAAATTACATCATAATCACATATTACTTGTTAATCATTAGACGATGCTTGTTTTATGGTTCTTACCCTTAATTAGACCTTTAAGCATTCTTGGTGGAGTCGAGAACCGACAAAGCCCTGTCAACATAAGTCTCTTATCAAGGTGGCCAACAATTATTTAGTGTTATCAATCTCGAATTGGGGTTTGAAATCCTATATGGTTCATTGCCCCCCAGACTCTAGCAAGTACTTAAAGCCTTTTTTGAAAGAGAAATTCCATTTTGTTTGGCTACGGTATGTACAATATACTACCCCCTAGACTTGAGTCAAGTGAGGCATGCAATGGGTCTTTTAGACGTTCGAAAATTAGGGCCTTTAGCTTGTTAGTTGTGATGTGCGTGGATCCCGTCATAGTTATTACACAACTCTTCCCAACATATTTGCTCTAAGACTTAGACTTTTGAATAAATAAAGTTTTTTTTAAGTTCACTATTTAGTGATGGTATCAAATGTTTTATTTCTCTAAGTTAATAAATGATCTACACATTACAAGTGACATCCCGAAAGGGGGATTACACGTCCCATAATAGTCGTGTCGACAGTGTCGAGGTCAATAGTCAAGCCGCTAATCTCAATATTCGAGTGAAGTGCAGTGTGACCAATGACAAAGTTGTCAATCTGTCTACCATTCTGGTAGAGGACGACGAGGGTGTTGTAGCTCAAGACAAGTACAAATGGGTTTATGTGAGTGTTTGGAGCCAATTCTCTAGTTTAGGTCTAATGCTCATGTGAGGTACTTCAAGGAGAACACTTTTTTAAACATCAACGTGCTTATAGGTAGGCGTTCATCTATGAAAATATTAAAATAAAAACTAGTAAAATTCAATATTTTTGTAGAATATATATATATATATATATATATATATTCACTTAGATTTACATTGTGTTGGCTTATGATTACAACTCTTCCTTGCTTGCACACAAATTCTTCTTAAAGATGAACCTTACTTTTGTGTGGGAATAAAGGTCAATTAATTTGTCACTATTTTTCCTCCAAAACAATATTGCTTTCAGGTGATGCACTTCAACCCCACACGATCTCATTAGAGTTATATATTTAGATTCTTCATAAATGTTTGTAATAAAAGTTTATGTAAGTTTTATGAATTATTTTACGTGTGTAGACTAATTTTATAGAAAAAATTATTTTATTTTTCTTTTCTTTTAAAGTTGTTTATTCAAACATGTAGTAAACAATAATCTAATGAAGTTGGTTTAGTGATGGTTCTTGGTTTGTTGGATCATTGTTTTGAAGTGTTCAGGCTTTCTGTGTTTGATCGCTGATTAGGTTATTATGTGTTCTTGCTTTCAAAAGGGAAAGTGTTAAACTTACAAAAGAGTCCATTGGTGCATGGCTTTTTCTGTGTGATTATGAGTAGGAAACTTTAGGGAACAAAAACTGTACTTTGTGCCTCTCCATGATGCTTACTTGTGTCTACATTTATCATAGTTTCTACCTTTCAATCAGTAATCATGGTGATAGTAGCCTCTGTGATTTATTGAATAAACAAAAGGAAGGCATGGACATGAACGGATCTCACAAAAGCATATAGGAGATGGAACAAATGGATAATCTTTCTAGTGAAATATAGAAATTGTGGGTTTTGAAATAATATCTATTTATTGGAGATCTCGCATAGATAAAAAAGAATAGGATCAAATAATAACAAAAAAATTGGGTATAAATTTTACATTACATACTTTGATTTTATGAGATTGAATTAAAAATACATTTATTTACTAAGAATCTTCACCCCCAAGTAGTAATAGCAATAGCTAGTATGACTCCTATTGTTACTTTTTATTTGTTTTCACTAGTATTATCATACAAGTTTAATTAAAATTTTAGTCTTTTTATTAAATTTTTTTGGTTCTCAAAATTTTTATATCTTTTAATTGAGTTTTGACTATCTAATTGTTCTCTTTAATCGGACGTGGTTGTTACCTTACTATGTTGTTATGTTACTTATTTCTATTATCTTCACGTTTTAAGAAATATGTGATTATGTGATTGATACTAGAGTTAAGGATGACTCTTACTAGAGTTAATGGTCACTCTTACTGTAAAAATATGTTGGGTTGTATACAAGGGAGCATCATGGTCACATTTAGGTTAAATTAGTAGTTTGGTTTTTTATTAAAATAATTTAAGTAGGTATTTTTTTTGTCTTAATTAAGGTTTTTTTTTTACTTGTTAAATTCGTATTTGCAACATGACACTATCAGTGTAATGTGACAATAGTAATATTATGCATAAGTGTAAATATCAAATATTATTGTCTTATTTTTAATTTAGTCTTATGTTTAATGCTTAATTCAATTCAATTTATTTTTTTTAAAATGTAGTAATGTTATCATTTTCCAAAATTGTGATAAATTTATTCTTTTTTATATAAATGTTATAATTTTTTTTTATTAAAATTGACATTTTTATTAAATATTTTCTGAAATTATTTTTAAACCAATTCTAAGATAATATTAGATTTCATTTCAATAAATTACTTTTAATCTTATAAAAAATATGTATAAATAATATAGTAGTTTTAAATACTTGTTCTTTTTTATAAATGAAACTTAAATTTATTTAAAAATATAATAATATTTATAAGTCATATTTACATATATTTTTATTAATTAAAATAACTTTTAATATATCTAAAGCCAATTTATGGGTATATTCTTTAATTTCAACTATATATGAGTCTCTTGTCTTGATGAAAAAAAATGTGGGTATAAATATCTAGAAAAAATGTTTTTAATCCTTTTTTAAATGTTTAGTTCATGAAGCACAACATAGTGCTTCATTCATAATCTTTTATTGTCTCACAACAACACACTCACGAAATAGTCCCAACCACTTCATTCACGACTATTAAGTTTAATGAGAATGTAATAATATAGAGTTTCAACCACTTCATTTTGCTAAAATTGTTGAACTAGGTATGAAATTTGAGAAAATTGTTTAGCCATTACATATAGGTGAAATAAAGAAATTTTGTAAAGTATGAAATTTACTATTAGTTGAGAAAAAAAAAATTCAAGTCAAGTATGTGAGTCAGTCCGTGGACCCATGGACCAATTCTAATGTGGGGCAAGCTAGCCTAATCTGTATATTGCGGACCAAGTATAGGTCGGTCGTAAAATGGTCGGATTAATCAATTTAAAAAACAAATGGAACTTAATTAAATATAAAAAAAACATAGAGACTAAATTTAATATAAGATAATGTCATTTGTCACCAACACTGACATGTAACACTAGCATCAATACATGACATTACTACTGTCAAATCACATTCCAGTGTCACATAGCACAATATTGATTTGACACATGAAAAAAAATTATAAAAAACAAAAAATCTACTAAGAGACACATGACATGTCTTTAACATTGTTGGTACAAGTGTAATGAAAGGACCTAGTGGAATCAATTTTTCAAAAAAATGAGACTTAATTGAGAAAAAAAAATTAAAAGAGCTAACCAAATTTGATTGCTATAGGTGATGACATGAAATATATAATATAATTACAATGATCTCATTATCCAATATATTTTCATTTAAACTAAAAATCATTTGTATTTTATATTAACTACATGTTTGTTTGGAGTCTAGAGACTGTGTTGATTTTTTTATGTTGATCTTTGCTGAATATTAAAATTTAAGTGATATTGATATATTAAATTTTCTTTTAATATATTTTAAAACATCAAAATCAATATTTATAACTATATTTTAAATGTACAGTAGAAAAACAACATAGAGAAACTAACAAAAACATCCAAATTAGTTTGTTTTATATAACTACAAATCCTCACTTTTATTGACCCATGAAAGATAACTAACTTAGATGACATGGTAATATAACAACTATATTAATCAGTTATAAAAAAAAAGAGAGAGATATTTAATTAAAAAATATAAAAAAAATTGAATACTCAATATAATTTTTAATAAGAATTTAATTGAAAATATTTAAATTTATAAAATTTTTGAAACTTAATTAAATCTATTATATATTAATAGTAAGGAAACATACCTTTGAAATGGGTATACATATATATAAAATACTCTGTTTTCAAAGACTTAAACTTGGACTCTTTCTTTTTTGTCTCTATTTTCTTTGGCTCTTTTAATATGGCTCATTATTATTCTACAGCAGGTCAATCACGGCAACTAAATAAGCACTTTTCACTAACGCGTTTTCTGTAGTCCAAGTCTTCTCTCAAGCTTAGAAACTTTTGGTTTTTTTCTCGTTTGATCATTTCCAAGATGTTGTGATGTTGTCTTAATCTTTCTGATTTCTTCTATAATCTTCAAACCCATCATGTATATAAGTGCAAAAGTTATTGGCTTTCATTCACATCAACTAAGCAGTCGTCGTTGCATTTGTAAGTTTTTTGGGTGCCATTGTTGTTCTTCTGATTATCTTAAAAAATTTAAACTTTAAGCCTAGTAAAATTTGAATCTTTTTGTTTTCCTTCCTTCAAATTTTTGAATTCCACCCCTTTTAGTATGAAAAAAGCCATTGAATAATGTAGAATTCCACTAATCTTAGTACGAAACATTATTCAATAATGTTTATGAAATGTTCAAACCCCTTTAATAAGAAAAACAGTGATTATCAGTCAGAAGATGAAAAAGATAACTTTTTTTAGAGAAATCAAAACCCAACTGAAAAATTTAGAGGAACCCATAACCAAATTCACTAAAAGCATATTCCTTTTTCGTAGGGTGATTTTAAAAGCTTATGCCATTGCACACAACAATGTTGAAATTTGTTACCATTTTTGTTTCTTGTCAATGTTTCTCAGGTGATTACAGTTGGTGAAGATGGTTAAGGGTAGCCAAATTTTCACTCTTTCTGTGACCCTTTTGTTTTTTATTTGTGGAAAGACCTATGGAACAGACACTGACATATTCTGCTTGAAAAGCATCAAAGATTCCATAAAAGATCCTCACAAGTATCTGCAATCTTGGAACTTCAGCAGCAAAACTGAAGGCTTTATCTGCAAGTTCATTGGTGTTGAATGTTGGCACCCTGATGAGAACAGGGTCTTGAATCTCAAACTTTCAGACATGAGTCTGAGAGGTCCCTTACCTCATGGCATTGGAAACTGCACAAGCTTAACAGGATTAGACCTTTCAGGAAACAATCTCAGTGGAAGCATTCCAGAAAATATTGCCACTCTTGTACCATTTATCACATCTCTTGATCTATCTTCAAATCAGTTTTCTGGTGCTATACCTTTGAGTCTTGCAAATTGCACCTACATCAACACCATTAAACTTGATCAGAATCATCTGAGTGGTCAGATTCCTCAGCAATTGGCCCTTCTGCCACGGCTCAGGAATTTTACTGTTTCCAACAATTCATTGGTGGGGCCAGTTCCAAACTTTACCAATGGTCATGTGGTGGTAAATTATTCAAACAATAAAGGGTTGTGTGGACCTTCGTTGAAGCCTTGCCCCAACAATTGAAACTCGTCATTCAAGATAAATCCATCTATATACATGTTCACAATAAACTTCTTCCAAGTTATCCAGGAATTTCTTCAAACATGTATACCTATAAGATGGGGAAATAAGAATATCCAGAAATAATGTTTTGACAACCTTTTCTTTTTTTCCACCTACTATCTAAACTCTTCTATAATATAATGTAGTTTTTGTTTCGTAAATGTAGCTGTCTGATTTTGCACTTGCTATTAACTAAAACGTTCTTTGGTTTCTAACATTTGTGACGGTATCTTTAAATTTGTATTTCTTGATGTTAGCTAGTGAGTATTTTCAGAGGGAATTTAATTATAAGATATTACAATTTGAGTCCAATTTAAATAAGGCACACCACTTCCAATTCAAAATATTAAAGTAATAGATTCGACTTTGTATTGACTTATAAGTCAATACGAAGATCTAGATTTATATTTAAATTCTCAACAACCTTATAAAAAACGATTCTACATCGACACATTCACTTTTAAGTGAAATATGTGTAATAATCTTTATTATCAGTATACATACATTAAGCCAAGACAACTGTTACATTGGTTAATGAATATAGAATAATGATATGGTTATATGTGATCAAGATGAAGAGTGATGCATTGGAAATCTTTATAAGATTTAAAGCCCATGCTGAAAGGGAGAGTGGAAGGCAGCTAAAGATTCTTAGAACAGATGGGGGAAGAGGGTACACCTCTAATGATTTTGAGAGCCACTACCAAGAGTGTGGAATCACTCATGTGATCATGACACTGTATACTCCTCAGCACAATGGACTTGTAGAAAGAAGGAACATGATGATTCTTAATATGGCCAGGAGTATGATAAAGGATAAAGCATTGCCACGAAAGTTGTGGGATGAGGTGGTGTCCTTAGTTGTCTACCTTCTTAAAATGTGTCCAACGAAGAAGTTAGAAGGGAAAGTGCCCTTTGAAGTGTGGATAGGTGAGAAGCCGACAGTTGGCCACTTTAAGGTGTTTGGATCACTTGCTTTTGTGCATGTACCTAACCAGAGAAGATCAAAGCTGTAAGATAAGAGCGAGACAATGATATTCACTGGCTATCACCCTACTAGAGCTTATAAGCTCTTCGATCCAATTAAAGAGAAAGTTGTCTTGAGCAGAGATGTGATGATCCTAGAGGATGAGAGTTGGGACTGGAAGCAGAAGTAAACCAGTTTGGTGAAGACTACAATAGTTGGAGAAGTTGATAATTCCATCTCAGCAGAGCTAGAGGCAATCTCTGAAAGTAGTAGAGGTGTACAGAACTGTGAAAATGGTGGACCACGAAGACGACATGTGCTGCCACAAAGGTTTAGTGAATGTGAAGTGTATACAGATACACAGATTGGTGATGAAGAAGACTTGGTTCATATGGCCTTGTATGCAGGAGCAGAACCAATAGATGAGGTTGAAGCATTAAAACCTGTGTGGAGAAATGCAATGAGAGAAGAAATTGATTCTATTGAGAAGAATGGAACTTGGCAGTTTGTTGATCTTCTGGTTGGGAAGAAGAGTATTGGAGTAAAGTGGATGTTCAAACAAAAGCTGAAGCTTGTGGATCAATTTCCAAGCACAAAGCTAGGCTGGTTGCAAATGGCTTCCTTCAAAGGCAAGGCTTCGATTTTTCTGAAGTGTTTGCACCAATAGTGAGAATAAAAATCATTCGGTTGGTGATTGCAGTGACAAGTTCAAGAAGTTGGGCATTGTTCCAACTTGATGTGAAGTCAACATTTCTTCATGGACCTTTGAAGGAGGAGGTATACGTCTAGCAGCCTCCTGGATTTATTAAAGAAGGTAAAGAACACCAAGTCTACAAGCTGTAGAAAGCGATGTACGGGCTGAGACAAGTTCCCAATAAACGTATCGACTCCTTCTTAGTTAAGCTAAAATTCACCAGATGTATTGTTGAACATGGTGTCTATGTGAAGGGAGGCACATGAGAGGATCTGCTAATCATCTGTTTATATGTGGATGATTTTCTCATCACAGGCTCCAATTCAGCTCACATAGAAGAATTCAAGAGAGTGATGCCGACAAAGTTTGAGATGACGAACCTGGGTAGGCTAAGCTACTTTCTTGGGATGAAATTTACTTACACTACTGTAGGATTAGTGTTGCATCAGAAGAAGTACACTAGAGAATTGTTGAAAAGATTCAATATGTCATTATGCAATGCTGCAAGGAGTCCAATGGAAGTTAATCTGAAATTGGTGAACGATGAATTAGAAGAAGGGGTAGATGAGACAATATTCAAACAAATGATCAGATCATTGAGGTTTCTCTGCAACAACAGACCAGATCTATCATTCTGTGTAGGTCTGATAAGCAAATTCATGGGCAACCCGAAGAAGANAAATTATTTTTAAACCAATTCTAAGATAATATTAGATTTCATTTCAATAAATTACTTTTAATCTTATAAAAAATATGTATAAATAATATAGTAGTTTTAAATACTTGTTCTTTTTTATAAATGAAACTTAAATTTATTTAAAAATATAATAATATTTATAAGTCATATTTACATATATTTTTATTAATTAAAATAACTTTTAATATATCTAAAGCCAATTTATGGGTATATTCTTTAATTTCAACTATATATGAGTCTCTTGTCTTGATGAAAAAAAATGTGGGTATAAATATCTAGAAAAAATGTTTTTAATCCTTTTTTAAATGTTTAGTTCATGAAGCACAACATAGTGCTTCATTCATAATCTTTTATTGTCTCACAACAACACACTCACGAAATAGTCCCAACCACTTCATTCACGACTATTAAGTTTAATGAGAATGTAATAATATAGAGTTTCAACCACTTCATTTTGCTAAAATTGTTGAACTAGGTATGAAATTTGAGAAAATTGTTTAGCCATTACATATAGGTGAAATAAAGAAATTTTGTAAAGTATGAAATTTACTATTAGTTGAGAAAAAAAAAATTCAAGTCAAGTATGTGAGTCAGTCCGTGGACCCATGGACCAATTCTAATGTGGGGCAAGCTAGCCTAATCTGTATATTGCGGACCAAGTATAGGTCGGTCGTAAAATGGTCGGATTAATCAATTTAAAAAACAAATGGAACTTAATTAAATATAAAAAAAACATAGAGACTAAATTTAATATAAGATAATGTCATTTGTCACCAACACTGACATGTAACACTAGCATCAATACATGACATTACTACTGTCAAATCACATTCCAGTGTCACATAGCACAATATTGATTTGACACATGAAAAAAAATTATAAAAAACAAAAAATCTACTAAGAGACACATGACATGTCTTTAACATTGTTGGTACAAGTGTAATGAAAGGACCTAGTGGAATCAATTTTTCAAAAAAATGAGACTTAATTGAGAAAAAAAAATTAAAAGAGCTAACCAAATTTGATTGCTATAGGTGATGACATGAAATATATAATATAATTACAATGATCTCATTATCCAATATATTTTCATTTAAACTAAAAATCATTTGTATTTTATATTAACTACATGTTTGTTTGGAGTCTAGAGACTGTGTTGATTTTTTTATGTTGATCTTTGCTGAATATTAAAATTTAAGTGATATTGATATATTAAATTTTCTTTTAATATATTTTAAAACATCAAAATCAATATTTATAACTATATTTTAAATGTACAGTAGAAAAACAACATAGAGAAACTAACAAAAACATCCAAATTAGTTTGTTTTATATAACTACAAATCCTCACTTTTATTGACCCATGAAAGATAACTAACTTAGATGACATGGTAATATAACAACTATATTAATCAGTTATAAAAAAAAAGAGAGAGATATTTAATTAAAAAATATAAAAAAAATTGAATACTCAATATAATTTTTAATAAGAATTTAATTGAAAATATTTAAATTTATAAAATTTTTGAAACTTAATTAAATCTATTATATATTAATAGTAAGGAAACATACCTTTGAAATGGGTATACATATATATAAAATACTCTGTTTTCAAAGACTTAAACTTGGACTCTTTCTTTTTTGTCTCTATTTTCTTTGGCTCTTTTAATATGGCTCATTATTATTCTACAGCAGGTCAATCACGGCAACTAAATAAGCACTTTTCACTAACGCGTTTTCTGTAGTCCAAGTCTTCTCTCAAGCTTAGAAACTTTTGGTTTTTTTCTCGTTTGATCATTTCCAAGATGTTGTGATGTTGTCTTAATCTTTCTGATTTCTTCTATAATCTTCAAACCCATCATGTATATAAGTGCAAAAGTTATTGGCTTTCATTCACATCAACTAAGCAGTCGTCGTTGCATTTGTAAGTTTTTTGGGTGCCATTGTTGTTCTTCTGATTATCTTAAAAAATTTAAACTTTAAGCCTAGTAAAATTTGAATCTTTTTGTTTTCCTTCCTTCAAATTTTTGAATTCCACCACTTTTAGTATGAAAAAAGCCATTGAATAATGTAGAATTCCACTAATCTTAGTACGAAACATTATTCAATAATGTTTATGAAATGTTCAAACCCCTTTAATAAGAAAAACAGTGATTATCAGTCAGAAGATGAAAAAGATAACTTTTTTTAGAGAAATCAAAACCCAACTGAAAAATTTAGAGGAACCCATAACCAAATTCACTAAAAGCATATTCCTTTTTCGTAGGGTGATTTTAAAAGCTTATGCCATTGCACACAACAATGTTGAAATTTGTTACCATTTTTGTTTCTTGTCAATGTTTCTCAGGTGATTACAGTTGGTGAAGATGGTTAAGGGTAGCCAAATTTTCACTCTTTCTGTGACCCTTTTGTTTTTTATTTGTGGAAAGACCTATGGAACAGACACTGACATATTCTGCTTGAAAAGCATCAAAGATTCCATAAAAGAACCTAACAAGTATCTGCAATCTTGGAACTTCAGCAGCAAAACTGAAGGCTTTATCTGCAAGTTCATTGGTGTTGAATGTTGGCACCCTGATGAGAACAGGGTCTTGAATCTCAAACTTTCAGACATGAGTCTGAGAGGTCCCTTACCTCATGGCATTGGAAACTGCACAAGCTTAACAGGATTAGACCTTTCAGGAAACAATCTCAGTGGAAGCATTCCAGAAAATATTGCCACTCTTGTACCATTTATCACATCTCTT